AAGTAGCCACAGAGAGAGAAGTGAGAGGATGTGAGAGAAAACAGCCCTGCAGACACCAAGGTCAGTGAAGGAGGGGAGGGAGATGTTCCAGGCGCCAGAGCAGAGATTGCCCTGCAGCCCCTGGTGCAGCCCATGGTGGGGCAGGCTGTCCCCCTGCAGCTGAGGGAGGCCCACGGTGGGGCAGATCTCCACCTGTAGCCCATGGAGGACCCCATGCTGGAGCAGGGGAGTGCCCGAAGGGAGGAGGCTGTGACCCCGTGGGAAGCCTGCGCCAGATCAGGTTCCTGGCAAGACTTTGTGGACCCGTGGGGGAGGAGCCCACGCCGAGGCAGGTTTTCTGGCAGGACCTGTGACCCCGCAGGGGATCCACACTGGAGCGGTCTGCTCCTGAGGGATTGCACCCTATGGGAGGGATGGACCCACGCTGGAGCAGTTCGTGAAGAACTGCAGCCCATGGGAAAGACTCACGTTGGAGAAGTTCGCTGAGGACTGTCTCCTGTGGGAGGGAGCCCATGCTGGAGCAGGGGAAGAGTCTTCTCCCGAGGAAGAAGAAGCGGCAGAGACAACTTGTGATGAACTGACCTCAACTCCCATTCCCGTCCCCCTGAGCCGCTGGGGGGGAGGAGGTAGAGAAAGCTGGGAGTGAAGTTGAGCCCAGGAAGAAAGGAGGGGTAGGGGGAAGGTGTTTTAAGATTCAGCATTTTTTACCCTTTCCTTCTCTGATTTTGATTGGTAATAAATTAAATTAATTTCATCAAGTTGACTCTGTTTTGCCCGTGATGGTAACTGGCAAATGATCTCTCCCTGTCCTTGTCTCAACTCACGAGCCTTTTGATCTATTTTTCTCTCCTCTGTCCAGTTAAAGAGGGGAGTGATAAAGAGGCTTTGGTGGGCCCCTGGCGTCCAGCCAGGCTCAAACCACCATGGCTAGTGTTTTATATACTGGAGTATAGGACAAGGTAGCTATTGGAATAAAATGACTTAATTACACCAGGTAAGACCAAGTCAGGGCACACCTGCTCACAGCATCTTTGCTGGACTGATCCCTTTCTCCCGACTTGCCCTTAGTCCAGTGCGTTTTCATGACTTCTTGGGTTATGGTAAGTTCTGTGCAGGTCCCCTGAATCACAAGGGGTGAAAAAAAAGTTTGTTTCTCTTTCCATTGCCTCCAAGGCCTGTCTGTAGGCCTGCTCTTTGCTCCTTTCAGGGTCTTGCTGTTTCTGCAAATATAATAGAGTTTTCCGTAAAAACTTCTGTAAAGCCCTTCCCTCCTCTGGCTTACAGCCAGACACATTCAGTGGGTAGCAGGGAAGAAACAATTCCCCTTTCCAATTCCCCTTCCCTCTTCCTGCCCCCCATGCACACAGGTAGCTTTGCTCTCTCTTTTCCAGTCCCAGCCCTTTCCACAGAACATAATGGCTGCTAACTGTGAATAAGCAACTGAGACACGTACCATCTGTTTTAGGGGCTATAAGCACTTCTAGAGCCCAAATAATATATGAATATTAATAGAATGACTGTAATGATATAATAAAAGGAAAAAAATAAATGTCCTCAGGAGCATGATAATCTAACTTCAAAAGCAATTACCATCAGTAACGAAATGCAGAGAGAAGCCTAGGATTACTTTAATAAGATTACCTGCTTATTGCCATTTGTTTCTGTGGGTGACTGTAATGCTGCTTCACCTTCTCTCCCAGCCGGTTCCTTAGATGCTTCTCACCCTGAGCATTGGCAGGCCAAGCTGGGCTGTGAAGCTGGGGCTCACTGTCGTTCCCGTGGGACCCAGCATATCTCTGTGAGCACCTGCTCCTTGGTCTTCAGCCTCCCCTAATCTTGTGCCCTTGCTGTCACTGCAACATCGGGTTTCCATGCCCATGGAATATCCATGGTTGAAAAGGCAGGAATGGGAGGACATGGAAGGGTGAGGAAAGCTGGTGTCTTTGTGGAGGTGGAAGGACAGTAGGGAAAATAATTGTAGGGTCAGTGTTGTAAGACAAAGGTGGAGACTTGATCATTATGGAGGCTCTTTAAAAAAATCAGATTTATCCAGCAGATGAGGGAGAGCAGACACAGGGTCAGTAATGCAGCACATGGGCAAGGAGTTCTCCTCTCGCTTCTTGGAGCCCCTTAATCATAGACTTGTTTAGGTTGGAAAAGACCTTTAAGATCATCAAGTCCAAACATTAACCTAACCCTATAATTCCACCACTAAACCATGCCCCTAAGCAATCCAACAAATGGCCATGGCACATGCCCTTCTCACTCTGTCTTCAACCCCCTTCCACATCCCTGTGGCACATGAGTCCCGGAGCATGATCAAGTCATGCACTTGGGTGAAGAGTCTGTAGGGAGGCAGCCATATGCTCAGGGGGGCCAAGACTCATACAATTGAAAGGTACAGATGGTGAGATGGAGAGACCGCTGAGAGCAACAGTAACGTCTCTGCAGAGACCACATTAAATTGCACCAGGGATGAGCACACCAGCTCTGTCCATGAAGGAGAGAGTGGTTATTTTCTCATGTTGGAGGCAGCATGGGGAAGAGAAACTGTTTGTTTCTGCTTGTGAGGATATCTGTACATGTAAGATGATGTTCAGATAGACAGAAAGATATAGGTATAGACACAGTTCTGTTCCAGTCAAATGTGTAGCCCCTGGTGTCTGGAGGACATAAAAGGCTCTTCCAGAACTTAGTGGAGATCTCATCAGGGCTTTCAACCCACAGATCACTTGCCCAGCTGCACCTGCACAACAAAAAGTATGACCTTCCTCATTATTCTTCGAGAAAGTGAATAAGGACCAGGACACAGCTAATAAATAAACCAGGTTTAATCGTAATCATGTACATATTTATAGATAGGGAGGGGGGCATGGTGTGAAAGGTGCTGCCCTGGCAACAGGCATAAAAGAACAGTGTATTTTACCAGTCAATATACAGTACCAATGAAGGGCAGAGCTGATAAATTAATATGGGATTTTGAGTCCCAGAGGCTATTTTTTACAGACAACCATCATTCTTGGTTTCCTGTCAAATAATAGCATGAACTAGCTCACAGCTCTGCCCAGGACACAGCAAGGCAGATACAGCCAAGAACAGAATTTGAGGGTGAGGGAGGGACAAGATATCTGAAGGTTGTTCTGAGGTATATATAATGTATATACTCTACTGTTGTGTACAGTCTTGGGGCCATGCTTTGCCCACAGTTGTGTGTGCACACATCTCATTCCAGTCAGCGAGAGTGACAAGCTCACATCTGAGAGAATATATTTGGCTTTGAGGGCGTACAGAAGCACATGGAACAAAAAAGCCAGAAGCAGAACAGGGAGGGAGCTGAAGACAAGGAAGCTTGGAGTGGGCTGAGAAAGGGAAGAAGTGAATGGACAGCCCCAGATTTGTCTGGCCAGCCAGTTCAGCCCTGTTTGGACAGCCAGCACAAAGCTTCTGTTCTGAAGGACTTAGGCAGCGCAAAGGTTTCCATCAAGGTAACCTTTATCAGACAACAGGGAAAACCATGAACAAAATGGCTAGAGGCCATTAACAGAAGACGTTAACAGAAGAAATAGGGTGGAGCTGGCCCTACAACCGTTCAGTTCTTAATTTTGAAGGAAAACCCAATCCTGCCTCTGAAGTGGTCTAAGCCAACAAATGAATCTGGTCAGTCTCGGCTGCTACGGGCAGAGGAAGGAACCATTGCTTTGGTGGCCAGCAAGGCAAAGGGTGGCATCTGTACTATGGTACTCAGAGTTGGTGTGGCTGCTTTGAGAAACAATATCACACTAGGCTTGCAAAGCAGTCAAATGTATTCACTTTTTGCAGAACAATTTCACTTTCAATCAATGTACATATTATATAGTTTTACAGATGAAAAACACCTTTCACTGCTGGAAAGTAGACACTGTTTTGATATCAAATGCACTTGCCATCTGATTTTGCTAAGAACCCACCCCCAGACAATAAAAAAAACCCCAAATCCCAAATAAAATCTATAATACAAAACAACATTCATGTTGATGTCAAATGTAACTGTCCCGGGACACATAAAATCAAGATCTTCTTAATGCAGGTCCCCTCAGAAGCGAGCTAAGAGTCATGTGTCCATAGAGAGAGTCCACTCCCAATCTGGGAAACCTCAGTAAGACTGCTGCCCTTTGAAATGCAAGTCCCATTTTTTAAAGGATTGCCTCCACGCATGCATGCACACATACACACTGACACACAGGGATATACACACAAGCATATGCATAACCTCCTCTCTCTTAGCAAGAGCTGCATGCTGGGTAACTGTTAATGCCTTTTGTGCATTTTTGACCTACTTTCTTTGTAAGGATGAGGTTGACATTTCTTTGCTTCTCATGTCTGTATTCTTTAAACAAAAAGGGGAATGAAGAAGGACTATATTACAAAGACAGAGAAATGCACTCATATCTCAGGCATATGATCTTTCCAGTCATTTACAAGGACAATGTTATTTACATTCGTGACTCAGCAGAATCTGCAGGAAGGGTTATCCTTTCTCCATGTTGTGTTTTCTCGATGAACCCTGTGAGCCCATTCTGTGCTTCCACAGACCGTTTTTCTTTAAGGCACTGCATGTGGATGACGACTTCAGGCAGAAGAGCAAGCCCCATTCACTGGATCGTGCATTTCTCCCTCTCCCTTGACTGACCTTCCCTGAGAACTTTTGATTTGATATACTTCAGGTCACTGTTGACGCTTGGCCGGCGAGCAAAGGGAGAGATCATGCCGTAGGCATCCATGTCCTTGACTCGGCGCATCCGGAAGGATTTCTGTTGGAAGGTGTCACCATACTGGATGGAAATTTTCCTGTGGAGGGCAGGGCTCATCTCATGAGGTAGCTTGGCCATGCTGAAGAGGACATAGAACATCTCATCCACATTGGTGTTCTTCTTGGCTGAAACTTCGAAGTAAGCACAGTTTTCATCACTGGAGACAAGGTTCTCGCCTTCATCTGAGCGTACCTTGCGGAAGATCTCACTGTGATCATTTTTGTTGCCACAGATCACCATGGGGAGGTCAGCTGATTCCTTGGTCTTGTTCTTCAGGCAGGATTTGACCTCAAGGATCTGTTTCTGGAGCCTCTTGACCTCATCAAAGGATTCTCTGTTGTCCAAGCTGAATACCAGGATGAAAACATCGCCTGCAATTAAAAAAGGATACTGTAAAGGCTTGTGAGTTGCAACCTGTGTCAGAGGAGCTAATTTTCAAAAAGCAATAGGTTTATTTGCCATCTCTTCCCCCTACTTTTTTTTTGGTCCTTTTGAATCTGTTCATTAAGCTGTACCTTGGTTCCATTTTTTTCTAATTCAACTCTCCACTCCTCTCTGTAGTGCTATGGAAAAGATTTTTGGCTATGATGCTACTTCAGCCATATCCAATTGTGTGTTTCTAGGTTGCACTGGACTTGCAAATTATTGCCAATTTGTACTCTCTTTTGTAAACATGTTTCTATCTCAGCTCTGCTGCATTGCTTATCTTTTTTCTTCCTTTTGTTTGTACCTCTGTGTAAAACAGAGCCTGTTCTGACACCAGGAAGAATGGAGAGATAGTAGCCACTCAGCCTTGGCCTTTTGATTATACAATACAAGAAGCAGCACCTGAACTGAAGATTTACAGCTAGTCAGTCCCAAACGCCTAAGTCAGGAATGAGAGGTTTCCCAATGTGCAGTGCTCCGCAGTCATTTCATTTGCTCAAAAGAAACAGACCATGGACAAAAAGAAATACATAAATGACACAGATCCCCTGGCATTTCCTTTTGACATTTCCTGACTTACAACTCCTTTTGCAAATAGTAAATAACGCAAATCATTGCTTGTTGAATGACATTCATGTGGAAAGTGCTAAGAGAGCTTTCAGGGACAAAAGCTCACATCTGCATCCCAGAAACTGGCCGTAGGTCCTCACTCAGTGTGGACGCTAGCCTGGTCAGATGTGAACATCATGTTTCACTGGCTAGCTAGAAAGCAGGTTTGTTGTGAGCTGTGGCTGAATGTATCTCCACTGCCACTTTCACAGTTAGGGAATACATCTTAGCTTGCCACAGAAACTGCCTGACAATGAGAACGTATGAGATGAGCCCACCATTTTTTCTTTTTCCTCTTGACTTCATTTGATTAACCATAGACTAAGGAGAAAGGGTGAAAGCAGAGCTGTCCTCTTACTGGAATATCAAATAAAGGGAATCAGGCTGGAAATTTTAGGAAAAAACTTCGAGATTTTTTTGGTTTGAATTCCCTCCCTGTGCATTTTACACTTGTTTTTCACTGCTTGTGTCTTATAATGACATGCTTATTTTGTCCCTTGCTGCTCTTTATGCCCACGAAATCTTATTCAACCATTCATTTGTGGCTGCAATAAAAAATATGGAGCAGGAGGGGAAGTTAGGAGGGAAAAAAACTAGGAGGAAATTTCAATTTCAGACCTTCGCCTGGTGGACTTCTCCTCTGTGGCTTAGTGCACTCCCTATAGTGCCTGGAGCATCCCAGCCAGGAAATATCTCTCTAGAGAAGTGCATCTTGGCAATAAAATCAAGCTACCTCCGAAGAAGTAATCATCTCCAGGCTACAGTTTTCAAGCTAATGCCTGCCATTTTGGTCTTTCATCCTCCACCGTTCCCCATCTGCAAACTTCCCCCCACTTTTCACCTGTCAGGATGGAAAGCCTCCTCATAGCAGGGAAAGGGTGATTCCCGGAGGTGTCCAGGATGTCCAGCTGATACATGTCTCCCCGGATGTTGTAGACCTTGCGATGAAAATCCTCAATGGTGGGAGTGTACTGGTCCTCAAACCGGCCATTGAGAAAGCGTGAGACAATGGAGCTTTTCCCCACCCTGGAGGCTCCCAGCACTACCATGCGATATGAGTTCTTGGCTGGCACGTTCAGGGTGCAGTTTCCACCAGACATGGTCTTCATCATTGCTTGGTCCTGAAAGAGGAAATGGCAGAGTTGGAGGAAAGACCAGAAACTAGAGGGAGGATGGAGTAGGGCAACCCCTTACCACAAGCTTGTCAAAGAGTGCTCCAGAAGACCATCCTCATAAGCAGATAAATGGTTCATACAGGAATCTTTTCACTGGAAATGCTTCATTTCTCAGTCTCATTTCCAGGGAGTGGTTTGGGGTTTTTTTGGGGGGGTGGGGTGGGGTATGTGTTTTCTTTTGAAGTTATTTAAAAATGAAGGCATTTACTCCGAAAATAGCATGGGTTCGAATTGTAATTTACTATTCCATTTAAACATGAAGGGCTAATTTTATCAGCTGCGCTTCAACTTAGACACCAGGTTCCTTCCCACCATCTGCGTCACTTAGATATTACCAGATTTTTCAGTAGAGCTTGGCTCTCATTTAGATACATAAACACAGAGGTCATATTTCCCACTACACTGCATTCACTGCAGCTGCCATTAGGAACTAGACCGCTTTGTTTGGTTGCCTAAATAGGAGCTGTGCACAGTACTCATTTTGAGATCAACCAGAAATCAGAAAGCAACAAGAATTAAGAATTGTGCTTAACATCAGTGGAAGCCAGACATCTCAGTAACTTTAAGCAGCTGGTCCCATACAACCTTCCATTGCTGATGCAGGGAGTTTGAGCCACAAAATAGCATTGGCCATTGATAACGTCTAAGACCTGCGTCTCCAGTAACCTTTTAGAAACCAGATATTCATCTCGCTGTTTGGACTGGTAGCGTAGGAACTCCCTGTCAACAAACTATCAGCATTGCAGCAGGATGGCTGGCAATGGATGGAGCTGCAGAAACGTAGATTTTGTAGGAGTTTCAGTCTTTGTACACTCACAGCTGTTGTGGGTGTCAGAGTCTTTGCGGGTGCTAAGTACAAGCAGGAGAAAAGATGAAGGACAGCCATCTTAAATAGTGATTAGATGAGATTTCCAACCCCTGACAACTAAAATGAGTCTCGAGACCTTGGAGATTGCATTTTGACATAGCACTCAGGTGCAGAAAACTTTGATAGGAAAAAAAAAAGCGTTGTTCAGCCATTTTTCGTGTACCAGTTCAAATGAACTGTGCGCTGCAAGGAAAAATATAACCTCTGTGTGGGGAAAGCTAACCATTAGAGCAAAAAGGCACATTTTTGACAGAGTTTATTTTGGTTACCAGGATCTTATTAAAGAATAATCAAGTTCCCACTGTGCCGTTTATTTAACTTAGGTGTTGTTTATTTAATATTACAATGCGAGTACTTTATGTGCATTGAAAGATCATTTCTGGGTCCAGATCTGGATTCCTATCTTTCCCTCGAGTGAATTTTATCTCCCAAGCTTTTACCTAGTTGACACATATCTCAGTCAAGAGCTTAAAATCTTTTACTTTGTTTAACTTGTGCTAAGCACCAAAGCAGCAGTGAAGATACAGTCACTGCTAAATAAAGAAGTCTCTGGAATTCTGATCCAGCATCATTACAAGCACTGTGCTATAGCCCAAGGCAACAGCAAGATATTAGTATTTATTATTATTGCTCTAATTTGCTGCACGCCAACAGCACATTCAGCCCTATCTAAGCACAGAAGAAAATGCAATGCTTTCCTCAGAGTAGCTTACACTCTGAGTTATATTCACTGGGCAGGACAGCATAATATTAGAGCCAGACAGCAATGTCAGAACATAACTTTGGGTGGACACACACATGCAGAGTTATGGCACTGCTGGGATTGCTGTGGTGGGAATGACAGCAAGGAGCACACCCAGTCTTTGAACTGGGCTCTGTGTTTTATTTAGAACAGGACCTATCTCCAACAGTGCAGAAACACCAGATTCAGTCCCTGAAACAACACTGACACGTACACTGTTTCTGCCCTTTCCTACATAGCCAGTCCAATACTGTCTTGCGTCCATGGGCAGACAACTGGGGACAGGAGAGGGATTTTGTGAAAAAACCCAACAAACTTCTCTACAGCCCAGGGTCAGTATTTAGAAATGAGTCAGTTCTTCAGACTGGGATGGACCAGTGTAGCTATATGAGGACAAGTGGACTGCATTGGTTCACACCTGCTGAAGATCGGTTCCATGCAATTTGGTGCGGCAGCATATGGGGCTGAGCACAGTTACGCTTTTTAAGCAAATGCCTTATATGTCCTGTAAAGAACATGCATGCTGGGGGACCTGATGCTGGCCAGCAGCTTTACAAGCCAAAATCCTACAAATTATGCTCCTGACTGGCAGGTAACCACTGAGCTGCTGGTGATTAGAGAAACTCCCATCACACAGCAAAGGAGGTGGGCTGTGTCACTGCAGCTGCTTGGAAGGTTAATTTTGCGCCTTTAGTGCAAGAGGCGCTTCTGTCCTCCACTTTGAAATTAATTCCATCGCTTTGGACCTCAGTTAGAGCCACTGCACACTGAACAGCTTGGAGAAGGAATTGCCAGCACAGCTACCTGCAGGCAGGGGAGAGTAAGGCACAAGGAAGCTGAGTGACCACACAAGGTCCAACAAGTGAGAAACATGAACAGACTCTGGGATTCCTACCTTTCAAACTCTTTCTCCTTCCCACCTTTCCTCACCCTTGCCTCTCTGGTCATTAAATCACACTGCCTCTCACCCCCACCAAAGGCAAAACGCTATGTGCAGACATGTGCTCATTTCAGGATGCGTTGCGCCGAGGATGTAGGTGCACTGAAGGGGAAAAAGGGGCGTGAGGACACACAGATTTTAATGTATTAAATAGTCACTTTATGCTGTCCTTGTTCCACCTGTCAAAGCATTCAGTCAAGAGGACTCTTGTGCTTTCCTGGCTGCATTTCATTTCACATGGAGTCAAAAGATGCTTTTCAACCCTTTGATTCATGGAGTTGCTACTCATCTCATCACCTCTGCTGCAAATCTGACTCAGAGCATGCCGTTGAACCTGGAGCTTATATTTGTGGTTTGTGCCCTCTCTTCTTATCCCCCCACTACAGTTTTTCTCCAGTTCCATATAGTGTGACGCCCTTCTTCCTCAGAAAAGGAATGAAACTTCAGCCTTCACACCCAGGGGTTGGGGGGGAGCACAGGGACTCATACATTGAAAAAGATTAAAGGCAGAAGAAAGGAAACAGAAAGACACCACATGTTCGTGTACTAAATAAAGCAAAATCAATCAGAAGCGAATGAGGAGACAAACAACCTCCAGCTGGCTTTAATCTACATCTTTTCCTTCCAGTTTATTAAATGCTTAAGCACAGATTAATTCCCCGTGGTACCTCCTGCTTCATGCACTGGCTTGATGGTAGAAACTTTACATTAGTATTTTATATTGGTGCAGCACAGGGATTTCAAAATGTCATAGAAATGTAGGCAATGAGCGTTATCTCCACTTAATAAGGGGAAAGGCTCATACGCCCAGAGAGAGCTGAAACAGCTGTCCAAAATCAACATTAAACTACATTTCTTATGACTCCCTGTGTTGTCTTCTACCTGCGAGCCACCGCTGCTTGCTTCATAGACAGACATTGGAGTGAATGACAATGCAGCTGCTTTTGCATGCTCTGAAGAGTGCTCATCTGAATTCCAGTGAGGTGCTGACAAATTTGATCCCAGGCATCTGGAGAAAGATCTCTAAGGACAACATTCTTCATTCAACCTGCCTGGAGCTTTTACACCTCAGGTTTCCATCCTCCCACCAGGGGATATGCTCCCTACCACTCCCTATCCATGAACAGACTTATGAACTACCCCTCTTGCACTCCACAGTCTTCAGCTACTGCTTCTGTCTCTGTTTGCCATCCCAATGTAATTCACTGCATCCAGCTGAAAAGGACATAGGCAGATGCAAACCGTACCGTGTATTACAGACCTGTCACTTGTTAATCACTACTAGTATCCCCATGATTTTCATGCACACCACAATCACCCCCGTGGGATGTTTGTTTCCTACTTTCATCCCAAACTCCATGCTGCTTTCTTACCTCTCTTTCCTCCGAGGAGCAGTCCTGGGTCTTGGCGCAGTCTGATGAAGCTGATAATTTTAATCAGAGGCGGCTGCTGCTATAAAAGCCTGTTGTTCTGTGGATCCCACGTTGCTTGCTCTTGTCTCAGTTCTTCAGCGGTATTTCCTGGGAACTTAGCAGGATTGGGAAGGACCACAGGGCTCCAGAGGGCATTCCCCCATGGATGGTAAGTACTGGATCAGGCGACCGACATGGGCTAAAGAAGGGTCTTGGAACCAGTGGTAGCTTTTCCCTTTGGTGAGATGAGCTCTTCTCCTCACAGCCTCAGTTCGAGAGAAGGAGAGGGAGAGTCTCTCCCACTCCCACTGGCTTTTCTTGCAGGTTGTGCTTCGTAGGCTCTGCTGGGGGGAAAGGGTCTCTGGAGCAACGCTTAGTCGTGCAGGGTCATGGGTGCATCCGGCTGGCCCACCCTGCCTCAACGCTGCCTCAGACCCTATGGAGAAAAATCAACAGGGGCATGGAAGTTGTCTATGGTGAACCTACGCTTCCCCAGGTCTTGCCTGGCACAACCCCCCTCCACAAGCTTCTTTTCTTCTGGTCTGAGATTTGCTTTAAAATATTCTCTTTCTAGGACAGACGGGGTTTTTCTTTACGTTTGCCAATTAAGCCTTTCTTCTTCCCTCCCTGCCTTTCTCCCTCTCGCTCTCACAACTACTGGCAAATTGCAGATTTTCCTTCTGTAGGACTCACAGATAATTGGCTCAACTCCTCCCTTGAAGTCAGTGTCAGACACAGGGGAAGGAGGGGTGCTGAGGGGGTGGGATTTTGTGCCTATTGAAAAAAATCTTTTCTTTTCTCCTCTAAACAGAAAGTTCATATGCATTGCAGACTGCACGTTCCCCGTCTTTCCACCAGAGACCTGTATGTATGCGTGTGTGGGAAATGAGTTAGCGTATGTGTATGAGAGACACAGAGACTTCACTTACTTTGCAAGCTGTAAATTCATAAGCTGTTTCTAAAGGCTCTATACTT